GCAATCTGATGATTGTTCCAAGATTTTTAATAAAAATCCTAATAATTAGCATCATCAGTCTTTCTCCCATTTTGGTTGTTGTCCAGGTCCAGCTGACAAAAAAAAAGAAAGTAAGAAACACAAAGACAAAAATGAAAAATGAAAATATTATTCCAAAGGTCCTGGCTGAAGTTGGACAACATAAATTTCTGCTTGTTTTGTAAGGTAATTCATACCCTCAAATTAACTTTCATGTCTTGTTAAAGCAGAAAACAGCCTACCGCTCGTATTTTGGGTTGTGAAGTGTTATGAGGAGAACAGCGGCTGGTAGAGAAAGAAAGAGACCATAAATGAGAACACGTTTTATTTTAGATACTGGGTAAGGAAAGATAATTTAATAAATTGCTCACCATGTCTTTAGCGCTAAAAGAAAGACGCCTGCTAAAGTTAAGATGATCACCAAAGTGACACGCATCCACAATAGAGTCGAATTTTCTGTAGGAGACACAAAGAATAATTAACACTGACTATGTTAATGACAATGAAAGTTCTAACTAAGAAATACAGAAATGTAAGTAAACAGTTCACTTCAGTCTGCAATACTCTGACCTTCTCTGAGTTCCGGTACCAGAATTTTTTCCTGATCCCAGAAACGGTGCTGGACAATGCAGGTCAGTTCTTCTGGGCAGACGTCTTCCAGGAGCTCCAGATGACTCTCTACTGTTACAAATCCATCTGGGTCCAGCTGAGTTTTCACTGCAGGCTCTGAGCTGCCTCCATAACTCCAGCTTATGTTGGCAACTGGTGTTCCTCTTTCAGCTCTGCACAGTGCCACTATTTTGTTCCCCTTCCACTCCAACCAGGCAGATAAAACAGGAGGAACTGAACCAAGGAAGACAAAACCATAATTAAGTAAAACCTTACGCATCAGGTGACTAAGCCAAATTTTTTGGACTGTTCTTTCTGAGGTCAGTAAATCATGCAAATATTATTTTATTGCAGAAGATAAAAAGTCAACATTGTGTATCCACATGTTTTTGTCTGTGTTAACGTTCTTCAAGGTTCTTATCTTGAAAACTGATTTAACTAAAAAGGTAATTAACCCTTTCATGCATAGTGGTCACTACAGTGGACAGCTATCTACAAGCCATTTTCTTGTGCTTCTTGTGGATTTTTATGTTATAAATGCACACAGACCACTGAAGTGGACACTAATGCATCATAAAATAAACTATCAACTACTGGCCATCAGCTGCAAATGCAAGAAATTATTTTTGTTAAATCCAATATGGCCGACAGACAAAAAAGCATGCCAACCGACCCGGTCCCTCCTTCTACTGTAGACGACTCTTGCAGGTAAAAAGAATATTGTGACATCAGATACCCCCTAAAGAAGAATAGTACTGATGTATTTTTCAGATAACAACTTTGTATTTGGAGAAACTTACAATTGATCACCCAATTTTTAAAAACATTTTTCCTACTTTTTTATGCCTTAAGAAAATAAAAAAAATTGAAAAGAATCCTGACACAAAGGATCATAATTCATGCATGAAAGGGTTAAAAGTCACTTCTCACCCTAAATGACCTACCTGTCACAGCCACTTTGATGTTGTAGTTTTCATTTCCTCCATTGTAAGCCGACTCACACTGGTAGAGTCCAACATCGTCAGCTGAAAGGTTTGGGACGTGCAGATACAACTGACCGGTGGAAGTCTTTTGGATAGATTTTCCATCTTTGCAAGAGTCAATACCTGAGTTGTCATATACAAAGGAAATCTTACAGTTTTTGTTTTTCAAGTGAATCTCCCAGATTATAAATACGATGTCAGCCCTTGTCTTGTTAGTGCAGGTCAGGTTAATGTTGGTCCCAAGATTGAAAGCAACATCTCTGTTGACTGAGGCGGAAAAAATAGTGATTAAATGGTTAATTGCTTAATATTGCAATTTAAATTAATTTATTAAACATAAGTTACTCATGCATAAACAAACACACAAACCATTGTGCTGGGAGAAAGCAAAATAGCATAAAGAGAAGCCATGCATGCTCTGGCAAGAGCCATCAAGCTATCCACAGGAAGAATCCCATCATTGCTGGATAAAAGACATCAATTTGTCTTTACCAGCATTTCTGGGTCTCATGTCTGAATGTTGTGTTCATATAAAAATCACAATTCCCAGTTTTTCGCTGACACATTTTCCATTGTTAATAGATTTTTTTAAGCTTATCTTCTTGCAGTCACCTCACAACCTCAAAATTCAACTTTATATATGTGTGTGTGTGTGTGTGTGTGTGTGTGGTGTCTGATCATGTCTATTTCTTTAAGACCACAGTGTGAACCTCTATGGGCTATTTCCAGCATGACTTCTTGAACTTTGTCATGAGTTTATGGTTCTCCACTTGCCTCCACAGTCACAAGATCTCAGTACGACAAGATTCTTGACACAACAGCTCCATGTCTATTTAAATAAAAATTTATTAATTGATAACATTCCTAATGTTGAATAAAAGTGCAATGCATTCTCTCAACCCGGAAATGTAATGTGGAATATAAGATACAAAGAACACTGTGTGGACTGTGTCGTTGAATTTTTAAAAGAAATATAATAGCAGACTTTTTTCTATTATTATTATTTTTTATTTTACAAAATTATGAAATAATGAAGTTCTATAACTATGTCAGAATTAAATTCTCTTAGCTTCATCGGAGCGCAAATTCTGATTTCCTGAAATGTACCTGTTCAAGAACATGAAACATTAGTCACAAGTTTAAGGTGTCAACAATCCAAACCTGCATCTTGAGTCCATGCTTCAAACATGGAGATGACCACAGTATAAATCCATGTCCTGTACACCCTCTTTGTTCGCATTTTTGTGTAGCTTTGTCTTAGGTATGGCTGACAAACCTCAAAACTTTAAAGACAGTCTCTAAATGGCCACATAACACCAAGTTGCTTGCATTTCCTGAGCTTTGAAGCCACCGGGTGCACTCCCACACAGGATGACGTGTCACGGCTGAAGATGTGACCTTCCATTTTCCAGAATTATGCAAGAACACATTAGTCTAGCCAGTGTTGTAAAGTTTTTCTTCTTAAATTAATAATATAATAGATTTTTTTTTAAATAATTATTTTACATCAAAATTTGAAAACCTTTGTAAGAAGTTTTTGAGTCAGTAAGGCCCAGTGTATTAATCATTTATAGAAAAGGTTGAAAAAATCTATAAATGTAGATGAGGAAAAAATGAGTTAGTGTTTGCAACCCCAACATCTTTATAGTGGTTTTCTATACCATGTAAAGCAGAGTGTCAGACGTGGGTTTTTTTTTTTACTTTCCATCAAGTGAACTTGTTCTGAATTTACCAGATGGTAGACACTGCAAAGTCCACAAGTGTTAAAAAGATTTAAAATACTTTATATTTATATATTATAGTTTCTTTTGATGACACTTACAAGAATGTTACTTCTAAATTATGGATGTTTGTTCCCATCAGAACCAGTTGCACTTTCAGTTCAGTGAATTAATTGCCTTTATTCTAGAGTGCAAATAATGCCATACTTTGTAAGCCATGCAATATTAAGAGGATTAATAGTAAAATTTTATCCTAATCTATCTGGATGACTGGATTCAACTGAATTGTCTTTGCAAAGTGACTCAAGAGGTCATTTCTGAATCAGGATTATATCAATAAAACCCTGATTCACTGTTAAAGTAGGGTCACAGGCTTAGGGTCACAAATTAAAGACATGCTCTTCAACAGCAGGAACCCATATGCAAACAGCGATTCAGTCACCCCTTCATGGTTACTTTATTTATTTATTTATTTATTTATTTATTTATTTATTTATTTATTTAGTGTAGTAAATTTCTTAATCAGGGACCTGAGTCCGAATTTGTACTACAAACAAGCAAGGTGGTATGACAGTAAAAAAAATCCTTGAATCCTTGAACAAACATGCTGATTAGAAAAAGTTATTATAAAACACATGGTTAAAATATATGCTTCTTCATGTGTATTGGGTTTCTTTCTAATTATCATGAGGATAAATGTTATGTTATGTTATGTTATGTTATGTTATGTTATTTCGCTAAGTTATGTTGTAACATAACAATAAACAAGTTTTTTTTTCTGTCTGGTTTAATCCAAGTAATTTTTATTGTATATATATATATATATATATATATATATATATATATATATATATATATATATATATGCTCAATTCAAAAGGTTAGAAGCAGTACAACAAAAGAAGGGGATATTGTTGTTGAACTAAGCCAAATGAATCGGATCCCAGAAAATAAACGCATTTCCCATCAGAACACTGGGGACTCCTCCCCTTTCCTGAAGTTCAGTTTGTCGTCTCCATGGTTACAGCGCTGAACGTTTTCTACTCACGGGATATTTTAACATCGCTGCAAGCACAGGAACTGTGCTGAGGCAAATTTCGCACTGACAAAATGAGCTGTTCTGTCACCCAAACTATTAATGATACCAAAGATCAATTTAAAGCTGCTCTACCTGGGCGGCCTTCTGACGGCTCACATGGTGAGTAAATGTAGCGAGAAGAACGGTAACGTTTGATAGCACGCTGCAGTAAGCTGGTTAACAGTCATTGAACCTTTTGTGACAGATCCGGTTTGCACCGTGCCAACAGAGCCGGACCGCCACAGGCCCAGAGTTAGGGCTTATACGACAAAGGAACGATTTGTAAGTTGATACCACACACATGTATCAATTCAGATAACAACAGCTGCTACTGGAAGCAAATGGGTGGGTGTAGGACTGACTTCTATTATATTTTAGTTTATTTATTACCTTTATTAGTTATTTACAATCATGGAGACAGTTTTTAATATTGATTGGATTGGTGTCTGATACAATTTTTCAATGTGATGCTTTCTGAATCTTGTGCTGTAGACTAAATGACAGTAAAAGGCTTTTGACCTTTTTTTTTAAATCTAAATCTTGGAGACAATTTAGTATCCAAGATTTTGAGAAACATACAAAGCCATTCAATAAATTAGAATCTTGAAAATGTCATTTATTTCATTGACTCAAATCACTAAGTGAAACACAAACTTAATTGATTAATGTGTTGACAGCTATATTTTTTTAATAATGATGATCTTCTTACAGTTAATGGAAACACAACATTTAGAATTAGTGCAAAATAAAACATCTTACAGCATTGTGGATAGGTTTTCCTATGAAATAAACAAGGGAATGAGGAAATGAAACCAGCAGTGATCGATGAAAATCTAGGATCTTACTTACTTAGTGAATAAAAATTAAATTGCACAGAGAACACCCCACAAGAAATAGCTGAGAAAGTCGACGCAAATGAACAAACTAATAAGGCAAGACCTTAATGACAATAATAAATAGCCGTAAGTGATAAAAATACAAATGTAAGTGAAAATCAAAACACAACACCGGTGGTTAATGAGACCCTAATGTAACTGCTGGCTGGGATGTTTCAAAATGCAGATCCTGATATTTGTCTTTTTATCTCACTCAGAGAAAACTTAATGAGTTTAACAGTATGTTTCGCGGTGAGCCATTGCTCACCTTCAAAACGGAGCCAGCAGAGCCAAAGCCATCCCACTCTGATTTCCCCTGGCAAGCACAAGCTGAGCGGCGCAGAGAGACGCTGCAGCAGCTGGCTGGGTGAGTAAAGTCAGCAGTTTCGCTCTGAATTGCCACAGTTTAGCCATGCTTTTTCTGTGTCCTGGTTGATTCTGAGTTATCTCTTTGACAGGATTAAGCCAAATCCTCAAACTTTCCTTGTGACTGGAGCTGACTACTGGAAATACTATAAACGGTTTGGTTTGCAACCACACATTTTAATGTTTTGATTTATATACTTAACTTGCACTTAGACATAAAAAAAAAAAAAATGAAGACAGAAGCACTGATCTGACTTTTCCTCGCTGGTACTATCGTCCGTATTTCTTGAGGTCAGACCCACCAATTCCACTGCTAATGGATGCATATTTTGATCCATCACAATAACATATATAAGGAAAAACAATTGTGGTGGTTTTCTTGATAGATGGGACTTAGATTTGAGTCCAGTGAAAAATGAAGTTTATATAATTACCTCAGCATGCCAGTTTAAGCATCAGTCTTTACATCAATCATCTCTATCCGATTCCTACAAAACTCTAAAAACAAAAAAAAAGTGCATCACAGTTCTTGCTTTTGGCTGATGTGGTTATAGGTCTTAGTTTTAATTTAGTCAATGTTTAGTTGCTAATTTGCCAGTCATAGATTAAGGATGGTTGATTTCAGTTTCTGACAGTGAATGCTTCTGTAAACACTGATATGACGTATAATCATATTTGTTTTCTCTCATTTAGGCCTTTGATTCCATTTGAACAAAAGTTCCCAACAGATGTTGTCTTTGAATTTGCAGAGTAAGTTGCCCAAGTTGCTCGAGTTAGATTTCTTTTTTTTTTGTTCCATCTGTGTCAGTGGCTTGTTTTTGTTTTAGCAGTAAGCATGCTCTCTTTTTTATTGAAAAATCACTGCAGGGAAGATTTTACAATCACTGCTAAGGAGCAACTGCCCGCTAATCGCTCTCTGGGGGTTCAGACGGACTTCAGAGAAAGCGAAACCCAGACTGACCCATTCAGTCCTGAGTATGTGGTGCAGCGTGGGATGACGCCCACAGAGCTCCTGCAACTGGCAACATTGACTTGGGGTATTAGATCAACTAACACCCTCCTAACGCCGCAGGTTTTCATGCTCAGAGCCGCACAATCAGCTTACCTCTGCCTCGTAGGTCATGGCTTGCCAGCAGGCCTTGCTGAGGTGGAAATGATAGAGCGAGCGCGTGAAAAGCGAATTTGGGAGACCACCCTGCCTCCTCGCCAGGACCTGAGCCAGATCGACAAGAGGAGGCGCATGATGGAGGAAATGGAAGCCAAGGAGTGGGCTTTCAGGGAAAGCGAGATCGAGAAGTGAGTTGCTGTTTTCTTAAAATGTGTTTTCGTTTTTTTTCACCTGGCAATATGAACAGTAACCAGAAGATCCAACGTGAGGCGTTATTTTGTTTCTCTTTTTTTAATTAAAAAAAATCTGTATTTCAAAAAATATATATTAAAACCTACAAACTGATGTGTCCCTGAAAGATAGATGGAAATGTTTCATAGGCAGTTTCTGCTAAACAGTGATGTCAGAAAGAGTGTACACCCTATGACCAGTTTGTGTAGTTATGTAGTCCTGACAAAAACGCAACAAACTTCTCATCTGTTGTTATCCGTAGTACAAACATGAAGCCAAAATGGGAAAAACTACACTCCATGATTTAATAGCATTTTAGAATCACCAAATGGCTTTAAGTGGTTTCTAATTATAAATAATCTTTCTCATTGTGGAATAATGAATTCCAGAAATGTTCAGACCATATGCCCCTTTCCAGATAGTCAGAGTTACTTCTCGGAACATATTGCTGATGTCTTTCTGTCTTGGCGATGTGTTAGCACACACCTGTGCTAACACACAGGTGTGTTAACACACAGGTGTGCTAACCTGTGTGTTCCTCACGATCTAAGGGTCAAACCTGCCTTCAGAGAGGTGGCCACGCAGAGAATGATCAGTTCATGAAATGCGGTCAATTAGCACCACCTGGCTGCTACTTCCACTCAAATATGAAAGTAGAAAATGTGTACTTCATTATTATTATTATTATTATTATTATTATTATTATTATTATTATTATTATTATGTACGTATGTTATACCATCTTGCCATTATTTTTTTGTGGAATTTGTTGTGTTTTGTTTCTTGAGCCTGCATTTCAGAACTAGATCTGTTTAGGTTCTCATGCAGAAAAGTCTGAGTTTGAAAGAGGATGTACTTTCTTTTTCTATGAAAAGTTTAGTTATTTGAAGTGACTTTCCCAACTCAGGGTTCTTTCGGGCTTGTTTTTGATGCTCTCTAGTTTTCAGAAATAAAAAAAAAAAAAGCTCCCTAATCTCTTTGTGTTTCATGTAAAACCAAACCCAGAGTTATTTCTTTGCTGAGCAGAGTGCAGGAGACGCGCCTTGCTGTGCTGGAGGAGCTGCTGAGGCAGAGAGATGAAGCTCAAAAGGATGTTGCATATGACCGACTAACCCAATTGTACGCTAAGCACCTGAAGGACAGGGAGCTCGAGCTCAAGAAGAACCACCACAAATACATGAGATGTAAGACATCCCATAGTGTTGATGAGATCTACACTTTAATGAAGGCTTTTCCTCATTCTTCACACTCACTCTTATGTCTGCAGCTCTTAGAAAACTGGAAAAAAAGAGGAAGAATGTGGAGGGAAAACTGCAGCGACAGGACATCGTTGCTGATTTTCAGACTCACAATGACAAGTTCCCTTATGGCAACATGAAAATGTTCAACAGTGACTACATAAACACATATGAAGGTCTGATTAAGAATCTTAGCAAATTGCTACTGCAGACCCACAGAGCTGGTATATTGTTACAGTCTCTGCATTTGATCATACACAGGCTTACAAGAGCTAGAGACAGGACTAAAGACATCACTGAAACAAGTGACGATACAATGGAGAGACATTAAGAGCAGAAAGAAGTCTCCCGCACAAATAGCAGTGGAGCTACTGGAGGATTACAAGGTAAAAGTAAAGCTTAGCGAGCGCATCATCTAGCATCTGCTTCCATACTCATTACAAACTGTGGTTAAACAGGCCGTCAGGGACGAGGAGGGCAGGGAGATTACAGTGAAGGACCACCGTTTTCCGTTTCGAAAAGAGAAGCCACTTCCTACTCCTCCTCCCACTCCAGCAGTGGAAGTCCCCTCAGAGGTCAGTTAATCACTGTTTGTAATCACTTTTTTTTTTTTTTTTTACTTGTCAATTAAGAAATTGCAAAAGTCTTTCAAACATCTTCAACATTCGTTTGGTTGCAACCACAAACTTTAATGTTTGTCATTGGGGTTTTGTGTGAGAGACCAACAACAAGTGCTGCCAAACTGGGAGTGGAAGTAAAACAATTTGTGACTTTTTTTATTTTTTTTAATTCGAGTGTGCATATTGGTTCATGCCCTTTTATTCTGGTGCTCCTACATTAGTAAGTCCAGTCTAACCAAGTGCTTTCAAAAGTCACCCAGTTGTTAAAAAAACAAAACCTTGACCAATAGCTTCATTAAACCGTACAGGGGAAAACAGCAAACGTTTGGAAGAAGATGATCAGTTAGATGAGACAAAAATTTAGCTTTCTCACCTACGTACATGAGACACAAGTAAAACTGTATTAGAAATTGTACTTGTGAACTGACTCGTCATTCTTCATCAAGGAGGATGAGAACACAGAGATTGCCGTCATCTTTTTGCAGAAGCTACTCAGGGGAAGAAGCATCCAGTTTGAGGTCGGTATGAGCTGGCATCATGGCTCGTGATTTTTTCAAAGTTCCTCTAGAAACATTTGCATGTGTCTTAATACACAAAGCATGCAACGCATCCATCTTCTTCAATTTGTGACATCATCTAGATCTTCAAGGGCAAAGAAAACCAGCTGGAGCTCATCAGGGAACTTAGGAAAGTTCACGCTCTGCAGGCTAGGGAGCAGAACCTGCAGAAAGCAGAAAAAGACCGCATACTGGCGCTGAAGAAACTCAGAGATCAGCAGATGGAGCAGGTGAAGCTCATTGCAACCGGTCACAAGCGAGAACAAGCTCAACAATGATCCTGTCACACCGGGTCTTTCTCCTCCGTAGGCCGCGACGAGGGAAGCGCGTCAGGCCGCGGTGATCGGTGTGGACCTCGCCCAGGTGTTCTTCATCTTGTCCCAGGAGCTGATTCACCTGCAGGAGGAGCGCAGGATCCACGCTTTCATGCTCCTGGCAGAGAGAGAGCGCCGTCGAAGGGAGGCGGAGGAGAGCGGGAGGCGTCAGGTGGAGGAGCGCAGGCGACAAGAACGAGATGAGATCTTCAGAGAAGTGAGTACCGTCTTGTGTGACCTTATAAGAAAAGACACTATGCTGAGGTCTTGTTTAGTTGTTTCCATCTGAAATATGTAATAAAACAACGTTGAACATCTCTACAGCTTTATATTCACCTAACACATGCAAACTTTGATGCGTCAGATTGTGCAGGTGCACCAGGAAAGTGTGGATATGTATTTAGAGGACATGATTTTGAGAAATGTGGATTATTTGGCCGAACAGCAAGCCAGAGATGAGATCCACAAGAAGGCACAGCAGCTCAATGAAATTGCTTACGCCATGGAGGAAAGGTAAACCATGACTTAAGTTCAAACTTTTTATTCAGAAATTATAACCAAAAACTAATAAAACGTGTATATATTTTCTGTAGCATGGACAAATGTCAGCCAGAGGAGATTGTGTCAGAGCTGGTGTACAGCTTCCTTATCCCCGAGATTGAGAAGATGAGAGTCAGGCGAAGAGGTTTGTGTTCACATATTTGGATGGTAGGAATAATTAAAAAAAGAAACTGATGTGAAAATGTCAGGTAACTTATTTTTTTTTTTCTTCCTTGTTTGCTGAACATTCACGTTGTTCTTCAAGTTCAATTGAAGCAGCTGAGACACTTGGAGGCAGCTCGGAGGATCATTCATGGGTTTGAAGTCCCCACGGAGATCCATTCACCCGAAACTCCACAGGAGAGCGCCGCTGATGCAAGCACGTCCGGGCCGGCTGAGGAAGAGATGACGAGCCAAGAGAGCCAAGAGTAGCAGAGGAAACAAGCACAGCAGTCACAAAGAAAGGAGTAAAGGTTCAAATTTAACTTGTGGAGATTTAATATCTGATGCTAAACTTATTTTCAAGGTTTGTCTGTCAGTCTATTAGAACTCATTCTAGATTTTTTGGGGAAAATGAGTCACGTAGAGAATCATTTGATCTAGAGTGATCAATATGGAGCACGAACTTAATGCTTACTTTAATGAAAACATTATTTTCAGCCCAAGTTTTGACGGAAACCTTGACTAAAACCTGATGGAAAATACAGGTTTGAAGTTTTTGTGTGTTTGTCCACCTTAGGAATTAGTAGCATGTTGGAAATTAATATTTGTTTGAGTCTGTACTACTGAGTGAAACTTGGATTTCATTTTTGTTGTTTGTATCTTTCAAATGTTCCCTCCTACAGAAATCTAGTAATCTTAGGAACAATTTCCCTTTTCTGGGTTTAAGCACCATGTGATTTGTACAAATCATATTTTAAGCCATTTTAAGTTCAGGTCCAAATAATGATTTATGTTAAACTTACTGTAACTACAGATTATTCTGACAATACATTCGATACTGGAGAACCACCACCACCAGATAAATGACATTGATTGAAGTGGCCACTTATGTAAAAAGACAATGCACCCGAAATCTTTTGTTTGCTGCAGATAAAGCTTTTGTGCGACTCATTGATGGGAGCTCTGATAGCTTCTTTTTAAAAAAGTAGTTGCCATGTGGTTATTGGGTAACGACAGATTTATGTAATGTAACTGAATCAGCTGTGAAAAATAGCGCTCAATGTCTGCGGTGCAATAAGTAAACAGAGAACTGAGGATTTCATCAGTTTCCCGGATATGGTTGATCAGGCCACCTTCCAGGTGTGTGTGAACATGTACAGATATTCTCCCCCAGGTTTTCAAAGCATCTCCTCTTTTCTGCCATCATCCACATCATCAGTATGTTCTGGCCTTCATTACATCAGTCTGAGACTTCATAATGTAGCACTAATTAAACATTGGATTATTGTGGATTAAGTTATTCTAGATTATTCTGGTCTTGGACTAAACCCGACCTTTGTGTAGTAATTGTGTGTCTACAATCTGGAGTTTGGGATTTTAGCCACTAGAGGGCAGAATGTTTTCAGTCTGAGCTCAAAGTGGAAGAGAGTGGGTACCGAGGTAACAGCTGTAATCGGTGTGGGCGGAGTTAGACCTGTAACTCCGCCCTCCTGAGAAACACTTGTAGGAACCAGCCCCGAACAAAATCTGCCAATCTGCAAGGCGAGCAACAGGTCCGACCAGCCGGGATAAACAAGCAGTGGCTCTCACCTGTGGTGCGCCCAGGGAAAAAATCCTGAAGTCCTGCGTGGATCAGCCGCGGCGAGGCGAGGGTGTCAAGACCGCAACAAGGCTGGACATCTGGAAATTCAGGTGAGAAACATGATTGACCCCGACTGTCTGTTTGATTAAAGATCGACCTTTAACCAGGTGAGGGAAATCAGGGTTCACCTCGACATGAACGTCACACACATACACACACACACACACACGCACAATTGTATCGTTATTAAAGTCGAGGTGTTGAACAAATATGAAGCGTTTTGAAGCAACAGTGTGCTTCTGAATCAGTACTTTTACCCAAAACTGAGCATAGCAGCGCTCGTTTGGGTTGGTTATTAACGAATCATAACATGACAGCGAAATGTGTAAAGTGGGACTGCAAGACGCGGGTCCAGAGTTGGCGGCTGTTATGGCTTCTTTGGTGAGGAGGTATTAAAAAAAAAAAAATAACAAGGGGGTGGAGAAGAGAAGAGATCTTTATCTTATGCAGGCTTTTGAAACGACTCACAACATTGTCGTTTCAGTGGGATTACAGACTGGAAACTGTGAAGCAGTTTCACGTGGTGAGAGTGCTCACACTGAGAGCACTGCGTTGGTGAATAAAAGATTCAGAATAAAAGACAATCATCTTAAGTGCTGCACTTCGAGCTATTGCTCATGCATTGTTCTATTTAAAGCCAGTCGCAGGTAGTTTTGCTTATCAGATCGGCTGTTAATTTTAATTGGCAACAGTGATTATTTCAGTTCAAAACAATAAGACAAAACGTAACAGAAATATGACAAATGAAAACCAAAATAGCTGATTGCAAGACGTCTTCTACAGCAATTAGCTTTACAAATATCTTATTTCGGGAAATGAAATCCAAACTCAATAAAATTAGAGAGTGCAAAACAAACAACAACGTCTCTTTCTTTAAATTAAGCTATTTGGCTACACATTACTTTTATTCTGGGTATCTTTAATAACTGTATAATAGTATTTCTTACATGTTGTACATTTTTGCTTGCTCTAAAGACTCTTATTTTTATTTGTATGGATGTTCATGTTCCAACTTAATTGTTTCCCCCCTAATTTGCTACTGGTACATCTAAATTTCCACACCATGGGAAAACTGGACTTCTTATTTGTTTTTCTCCCTTAAACCGTTGGACTACAATTCTGTTATCAGAAACTCTTAGAGTAAATAAAATGTAACTATTTCTTAATTTACTAAAAGCCTCCAGGCACACCTCACATTTTGTTCAAATCTGCACAGATGGATAAAACCTACATCGCCTGGAAGTGGAGAGGACTCCTTATGTCTCTTTGAGAGACATAAGAAGATTTTTTTTTTTTTTATTATTATTGCTCGTGGTCTTTGTGTTTTATGTCAACATATAAAATGTAAATATACATATTAAAAAAAAACAAGAATAAAAGATAGATTTTTCTTTTCAGCCGAGAATGAGCAGAGAGGCTGCTGATATCCAATTTGTCTATGAAGCTCTCAACAAGCCACACGAGGAGAGCGAGGAGGAGGAAGAGGATGAGGTGACAGAAGACGAGGAGCCCAAAGCCTGCGGCGTGTGCGGCGATCTGGCGAAGGGTTACCACTTCAACGCTCTGACATGTGAAGGCTGTAAAGGCTTCTTTAGGTAAATTGTAGCTCACATCTTCCTGTTGTGACATTATCTGTGGAAATGATTCTAATGACACATTTTCCTCCTCACAGTCCAGCTTCTGGTAATGAAATGCTGCACTTGGACACACTTTTAACATTGCAATACGATGATTCTCGGTGCAGCAGCTGCCACTGTTGCCTTGCAGCAAGAAGGTTTTGGGTTCTAGTCCTGATCAGTGGGCTTTCATATTGAATTAACATGTTTCCTCATCCACGGGTTATTTTGAGGTGTTCCAGCTTCACCCCTCCATCCAAACACATGCATCTGAGGGTTAGGTGCCTTCAAGTGTGTGCGTGATTGTCATTGAACCTGCTGAGCTATTGATGGTGTACCCCTTCTTTTGAGAAAACAATCTTGCCCTAATAAAGGCTTAAAAGGTTTTCCTCTGTACAACTCCTACCATTCTTGAGTTGCGATGCGAATCCTGCACAGAATCATCCACAATCGGCCCCTGCGTTGCATTTCTGGCTCCTTCAGGTTGAAGCTCAAAAGCGCCAGAGTTCAGAAATCAGACAAAATCAGCCGTGGAGTCGGGTCTTTAAGGGCATTGTTCAGAAACAGGTGGGCCATCCACATGACTGCTGACCCCTCTTAATGCATCCTAGCTACAACTCATGCATTTTTGTATAGGCTGCTGTGATTGTTTTTCCTTTGGTGGACGGACCTTCCAAGTCCCTTCAGGGACGGTTGTTTTTCTTTTAGATTTTCCTCGATTGATGTCTCTTGTGCTACAGAAAGACGCTGCTCCTTAGCAGAAATTTGCTGCTTTTGTTTCGCCTTTGTGGAATGAACTACTTTAAGGTACATCAGTGTGCTTCTCCATGTGTAGTTGCAGTAACTTCAAAAGATAGGGAGACTGAAAGCTGTTGCTGCTGCCAGCTTTCAAAACGCCCTGAAGAAGTTTTATTTGTTAGTAGGAATTATAGATTTCCAAAGCAATCATCAAAACTCTGGCACTTTAAAAGTCTATTTTAGTGAGTAAAATAAAATGAAGCATGTTTTTTTTATTATTGTTTTATCTCTGTAGATGTGTGGCAGCCACCTGGCTCAGGGATGCCTCACAGTGGGGTGTGTTATTAACGTAATACCGTCTTTTGCTTTTCTATATGACTTTTGAGATGACCAGTGTAACTATGATGGAACAGTCCAGTTTGTGGAAGTAATTTAGACTTATTTTCTCCCTCGGAGTCAAAGATTATTGTTCATGATGCTCTCTCATTATGTTGGAAGGCTGTTTCTAATTTGTAATTTTCTTAAAAATCAATTTAGACGTGCTATAAAGAGGTCGACGCAGCTCCGATGTCCGTTCCTGAATAAATGCATCATCACCAAAAACAACCGCCGCTCATGTCAGGCCTGCCGCTTCAGAAAATGCCAGGCCATCGGGATGCGGAAAGACAGTGAGTAACATCCGATTATAATATTTCCATTGGTTGGTTAACACTTTCTTTTAAACATTTTCTTTGTTTTTAAGTAAGAATACACTCATGGTAAAAAGGATGTCAAAACTCTCTCTGGCACATCTTGGCCTTTAGATATCAAGACATTATATCTTGAACACGATTTTGTCTTCATAAGGATGTAAAATTATTTAAATCTAACATTAAGCATACAAAACCACAACAGATTCTTACAGTCGTGGTTTAATAAATCAAAAACTAAAATTGCAATGCTGTGAGGAAAGTATAAGTACACACGTTGTTCTCTCACATCATTTTAGAGGAACTTTGTGCCACCCTCCTTCACCACATCATGCCCAACTGCGACTTTCAATCTGGTTGAAGTCTGGACTTTGACTAGGCCAGTGCAGGACCTCTGTTTGTTTCGTTTTCAGCCATTTTCTTTGAGATTTGCAGCTGTTTGTTCTCTTTGTTTGTTCAGGTCCAGCTGTAACTTGAACAGGACTGATGCCGTTACAGTTGACTCAAAAACTCTGGTGTGAGGAAGAGAATATTGGCAGCAAAATGAGTCCAAATTATCATGTCTTCACCACTAGGATTGGTCATTTCTTTGAGGTTTCTGTGCCAACACTGTGTTTGATCGCTGTGCCTGATAGCAAAAAGAAAATCCACCTTGACTCACATGACCTCTGTCCTTCCAAACAAAACAAACTATTCAGATTTTTTTCTATCCCATTATTGCCTTTAAACGTTTTGGATTTATTTTTTTGCAATTTATGTGGACCCAACATTAATTATCTCTCTCACTATTGATTAATGGACTTCCGATTGTCTGGAAGTGACTCTACAACCCTTTCTAGGTTCATAGACCATAGTAATAATTCCATTTTATGGTCATTGCTGATGGTTTTCCTTCTTGGTGTGAGGCTAACACACATCTTCAGACCTGGTGCTTTTAATTAGTCCAACACACGCTGATTTATAGAAACAAATTAACGAAAGTAAAAGGCTTCAGTACTAAATACATTCCTTTTCTTTGAAGGTCATGTTTTCACCTGTCTTGACTTGCGTTTGACATTTCACTGGGATTTGTAAATCAAAGTACAGGTTGAACATTTCTGCTACTGTTTCTTCGCTTCGTGTGCGGATGTGCAGTGGTCATGTCGGATCAAGCGGTCTTGGAGCGAAGAATCAGAATAAAGAAGAAAAAGATGTGCGACACGTCCGCAGAGCTGTCGACCCAACAGGAACAGGTGGTTGAGGAGCTGCTCTCTGGCCTCCGCAGCACATTTGATTCGTCGTTTTCACGCTTCACCGGCTTTAGGGTGCGTGACTTGGCACGTGCGCTTAATAATGGGCATTTTTCTCGCTGTTGTTTGAGTTATTATTATTATTTTATTTTTTTTTTACCAGCCCATGGACAGAGATGTGTTGACGGGGAACCAGCCGTCCAGACTGCGGACCAGCAGCCTGACGAAGAGCTGGTGTACGGCTGAAGAACATGGAGATGATCCTTCAACGTCCCCTTACCCCTGCTCCCTTTCCGCCGCCTCCTCCCAGTCTCTCTCTTCCTCTTCCGCCCGCTCTTTCCTCTCCGGTTGCTCTGAAAAAGAAGAGGACAACGTCGGAGACGAAAGCAGCAGCGTTTACACTAACCTCCCGCATCTGGCCGACCTCACGACCTACATGATCCAGGACATCATCCGCTTTTCCAAAAGCCTTCAGGACTTCCGGTAGAGATAAACGAGCTTCCCAGAACGGTTTTCCAACACCTTGAGTCTGAAATTATCAAGAAACTTTGATGTATTGAAAAACAGTTTGAAAATATCTTATTTGATAGCTGCAGCACACGACAAATAACCGCTGTGTATTTCCCTGCCAAGTATGAGATTTCTGCTGATTCGCCGACTTTCCATGTAGTTCTGTGATGTTTAATGCTCTACACTTGTTTCAGTAGTTGTGGATTTTAGTACCGCTAGTTATTCTTAAAGCCTAAAAGGAGTTGCTTGTTTTTCCGCTTTTGCTCATAAGAAAGCCGAAGTGGTGTTTCCCCTTGTTGAAACATATAAATGCAGATGTCAGAGTTGACACCTATTCAAATAACACAGGAAAGACAAGAGAAAGTTAGATTCTGAATACTCGTGAGGAGAACAGTCGGAGATGTGCTTTCAGTTACAAATCTCCTACCGCTCTGAAGCACATTTGCCTGCCCCTCTCTTTTTATTGTCTTTAGGATCCCTAATCACAGAGAGCGCTGTAACTCTAAAGGGAGGGGGAAAGACACTTCATCACACAGTCACAGCGCCAAGATTATCACTAACTAACAACACAATCCATCTAACACTAGCTTATCCAGTTCCTGACCCAGGATCAAACAGGACAAGTTGTACATCTTCACGGCGATGGTTTTATAGCTATCTAAGAGGTCAAAGCAGGGCGTTCTGTGAAGAGCTGATGTCACATCTCTTCTTCAGAGAGGCCCTCTGAGAAAGCAAGCCAGAGTGATTAACAATACAGACATATTTCTTAAAAGATATGACTAAACCAAATAAGAGTACATAAACTAAGAACATATAAAACAGTATAACAAATAGTTGATAATAATACAATTTACCTAACAGCAGATTTTAGCCAAAAGTAAACAGAAATGATCCCCTTATTGTTGAAGATGAATGTTTACCTTTTTATAGTCTGAAGCACATGTGACCTCACTGATCATTGTGGCTGTCTGAGGGCTCAAAAGTCATGATCATCCTTCCGTGGTTTCTGTTTCTGTTTACACGCAGGCATTTCATATGATTGCCTAAACTTTCTCCGCAACATTCTTCTCTATAGATTGAACAGAGAGCCGAGGGCTTCGGTTGCAGGGTTTCCACCTGATTCTGAATTGCATTTACGTCTAGACTTTAGTTAGGACGTTCTAACGCATGAATCCAACCATTAAATTGTGCATCCGACTGGGTATTTGGGATTGTTGTCCTGCTGGGTCCACCTTCAGTCCAAGAAGTCTGACAAGAAGTTTGATTTAGCTCCATTTTTCTCCACCATCAACTTTGACCTATTTGCTTGACTCAGCTGCAGCAATGTTTCCCCCCCCTGCACCCCCACGCTGCCACCATGATGTTCCCACCACAAAGTTTCATGTGAAAGATGGTATATTAAGGTCGATGTGCTAGTTTTCTGCCACCTTCATGGGCTTATCTTCATACTACAAAGTTTCCATGTAGGTCAAAAATATGTATTTTGTTCTTATCAGAGAACCTTCTTGCATACGTTTGCGGTGTCCCTCAAGGTTTTGAGGCAAACTCTAAATGAGACTTATTGTTCTTTCTACCACTGAACAGTCGTGTCCCGGTAGGTTCACTCTGATTTTCAGATGATTGATTGAACAGAGAAAGTGGAAATGGTTGGAACTTTCTTTAAAAAAAAAAGATTAACATTTGAAAAGATATAAAGTCTTCTCTATAAAAGTCCAATAAATTATAGTGAGACGTCTGATTGCAATGGAACAAAATCTAGAAGAAAAAAATAATCCAAGCGTGCAAATATGTGTGCAAGACGAGACTTTAATTTTGACCCAAAGTTTCTGTTCCCGCTACGTCTCATAGAGCATTTGTGACAACTGAGGTTTGTGTTTCATCTCTCCTGCAGGTCACTAAGCATTGAGGACCAGATAGCTCTACTGAAGGGAGCCACGTTTGAAATAATGCAGATTCGCTTCAACATGGTGTTCAACACTACGACGAGCAACTGGGAATGCGGCTGCATTACGTACTGCATACACGACGCGTTGCGAGGTGGGGTGAAGCGCTGTTTTAATGTGCTGTAGTTGTTTCCAAACACCTCGGTTGCGAATATTTCCTGAATTTCTTCCTCTTATTTGGCAGTATGCGACGTCTGCTGTTAAGATGGGTAGTCAGGCTGGCTTCCAGATGATGCCGTCTACCTGCTGCAGCAAACGTGACTAGAATGAGTAATAATTTAAGCAAAGTAGCAAAGCATACAAAGAGTTTGATGCTAACTGGAAAAAAAGTAGCTCCCCAAAACAAAACATTTTAGGAATCCACACTGTTCAAGTAACCAAACCAGTTCAAGACATGTCAAAAGCTTCTGATTTTACAGAGGCGGCAGGCATGACACAACATTTTACTTAATTACTCTTTGTGTCGAGTGAATGAGTCACCCAGAATATTTTTTATTTTTTTTTGATCAGATAAGAGTACAACTGGGGGAAATCTGTGTGGTGGTTGTGCTAGTTTTTTTCTTGCCTTTCAGCACTTTGGCATTGCACACAAAACCTGCAAAATGCTTGTGTGCTCATTAGTATCCTGCACGGTCTGCGTGGTGACAGACATGTGTGCACATGCTCTGTCTGCTACTTGGTCTCTAGATTGTGGAATATCCCGACACCTGGAGAGGGAAGCTTTGGTAGAATGCAGTCAAACTGGACCGGTTGCTTTAAGTTTCGTGCCAAATGGAGGTCATACTCACATCTGTTTTGTACGCAAACGGTCTTACAGCAGATGGTTGATCGATATTCTCTGCTTTCTGGAGTCAAGAAAGAATTAGGGGGGCCGGGAGGGAGGGATCCTTTTCAGTTTGGACCCTGTATAAATAAGCAGGTTTAGACAACAACTGGATGACTGAACAGGTCGAACCGGCCTGAGCAGCTATTCTGCGGGTTTTTGAAGGAACAAGAACACCTGAATTTAAAGATTCAGGTTGATTAATTTAGGCCAGTGGTCTCAAACTCCGGTCATCGAAGGCCAGGAGTCGCGCAACTTTTAAATGCGTCCCTTGTTCTACACGCTTGAATTAAATGGTGAAACTGCTTCACTAACATGCAGTTAAGCACGACACAGAGCTCTGCTAATGAACTGATAATGCAGCCAGGTGTGCAGACGCAGAGAGAATCCTCAATGTTGCATTTACTGGGAATTTGTTGATTTGTACTAATATGTTATACGAGTTACTGTCCAAGACTCTTGTTTTGCAAAACTGAAAATCTAAAATTAAATTAAAAAAATATGTTGCAGAAATGTACATTAATTTTAAGGCATTTTATAGGTGCTGATATGTGAATTTACCAAGTTGCATTGGTGCATTGGTTTCTGCTGCATATTGAAGACAAATGGTAAAACACACTTTTTTTTTTCTTTTTTCCATTAGACGTTACCTTCACTGCTTGTGGTTATGTCTAATCACTGTGACATTTTTGGGATGAGCTTTAAGTAACTATCAACTATCAAGAAAATATCTCTTTAATGTGCCCATCGCTCTGTTTGAATAACAGGAAATGATAAAACCGACGCCACAAAGTACTTCTTTCACTTAAATAAAAGCACTTGTATGCACGTTGAAACTTTCCAATTTGTCTTCCTTTGGTAACTTCTGCTGAATAAATTCAAATATTTTAGAAACGTTAAAACTGCAAGATAAATCATTTAAAAATCTCTCCTGATGAACCTCAGAGAAATGTTCACATCTTGAGTTTTTCTAGATTTTGTCATGCTAAAACCAGATCTCTTTGGCTGGATGTAATGGTTCAAATGTGAAGGCGTCCAACATGTTTTACTTCTTTTCCTGGTTCAACTCACCTGAATCAAACGACAATCTCTGCTAAACATTATGGCATGTTTGGGAGGTATTTTGATTTTAAATCGCCTGTGCAACACAGTCTAAAAAACAGAAGAAAACAATATCTTTAAAAAAAAAAGCTTTCCTAAAGAGGTTTAAAGTAAAAAAAAAAAAAAAAAAAAAAAAATTTTAAAAAGCCTTCATTTCTTTCTTGGGGACATT